TCAGGGAGGGGTAGGATGACCTTCTACCCAATCTTTAGAGACGAGGCTATGAGAGAGTATTGATCATGAATGTTATTCGTATGATAGGAGGAGGCTAGGTCGGGACGGCAAGCACGAGATTTTATCCGACTTCGTACGAGGTGAGTCTTCTCACTATACTTTACCTAGAGTGGTAATTATGTGTGACCGGAAGGTCTTATATGTTGTGCAGAATATGTGATGTATGTTGTTATGTGATATGTATGTGCTATGTTATGAGTAGTATGGTACGTGTCACACCCCCAAACCAAGGATGGCGGAAACGTCCGGGGGTGGAGGACTTCATGTGTAGTATCATAACAACAATTGTAATAGTAATTCAAGCAAACACAACCAACATATATATAATTGAAAAAGTTACATCATTGTATGAATTACATGTTTACGAATCAATTACAATATGTTGACAAAATATGAAATAGTAGACGCCTTAGCGTCCCATCCTCAAAAGCACTTGATTACCTGTTTAATGATTTCCTGAGAATACAAGTTGTTTGAAAAAGTGTCAACACAAAGGTTGGTGAGTTCATAAGCTTTTGTTTGGTATTATTAAAAGCCTTTCGTTTGTGAAAGTAGTATTTGTGTTAGAAAATCCAATATTTTCCTTAATGTGTAAATGTAGTCTTAAAACCCAAAGACCGAAATGTACAAGTAATTTGTCATATTTATAGTAAAACAATGCAAGTTTAAATCGACATAAACTCATTAAATTTTAATGAAGTTCCCGTAAATTCCAACGTTTATTAATACTTTATGTGAGTTATTATAACCATGCTATGACCTAGTTGGCCCGAAACGACGTTCTTCAGGCGTCAGAAATGTTATGACATTTGTCACCCCAGACCTGCCGGTCTAGCTGTTGCATGCAGCTTAGGTGTGGGTTTGTCAAACCCAATATAGATCTATACACAAGTATCACGCTCTCCCTCAAGGAGACTCTGGTTACAATACAGGACTTAATGGTAATTTGAAGTAAATGTCTCACAAAGTCATTAACGGAATTACGTGTTATGAAAAACTTGGTACCGTATGGCCGTACCTTGCTTAATGAAAATATCCTTTGTATAAATGTACCCTTTTTAAATGTATTTGTTATGTAATGTATCATAAACTATACCTATTATAGTTTATCAACCAAGGGTAGTACGTGGTAATGTATGCAAACTATATTCAAAATAGTTTATTAAATGTTTGAATGTATCGATTGTACTTTGATTATAATCACTTGTTATTCTTTATATTTTATATGACCAAATCCATTTGTAAACTGATGTGCGTCTAAATATTAAGATAAAATGTCATATATTGCAATAACATATAATCACATAAAGATATACACCTTGCTCAACATGTTACAAGGTGAAATGAAATTAACAGCAACTTTTCGTTGAAAAACAGTTTCTGTTACTGTTCTTAGAAAATTTATAAAAAAATCATCAAAGCTCTAAATCCAAATCCACAAATTTTGAGAGTTTGGAATATGAGTCTAGTTTGTTCGTAAATTTTACCATGATTTTTAGTGATCTCTAACAGAGGTGAAAATGTTCATAATCACAGACTGGTCCGGGTTTGCCTCTGAAATGACAGACAGTTTTGTAAAAATCACCATACATTGTAGAAAAATCATATGGAGATGTGCAAGTAGTCATTTTAAAGCTAAGAGTTTGAACTACTTGCACCTGGAACAGTTTTGAAAACTAAAATATTTAAGTTGACCAAAACAGTCCGTGATTAACGTCCATCTTTTCTGATGTAATCTGTTAGAAAAAGTTTAATTGTGTTCTTGATGATTTTACTTGTATTCCCCCCCTTAAAACTTAAGAAAAACATGTAAATGTAGGGGTATGAACTCACCTTATGTGATTTCAGTAGATGAAAGTGAGATAGAGGAAGTGTTCAACCCAAGAACACTAAGAAGATGTCTTGATGATTCGAGAATCTAACACCGAATAAGATGGAATTTGTGTAAGATATCAATGATTTGAGTAGAATGGAGTTTAATAATTATGTGAATGATGAAGATACTTACTAATTGAAGGAAGAAATCCCTGGAGAAAGCCTTGAAGTTCTTGAAATTGAGAGAAAAGATGAGAGAATTTTGGAGAGTGTCCTTTGGTTGCTAAGTGTAGAATGAAAGAACTTTATGGAGAATGAGGAGAGAGGATCAATCCTCCAGCTCTTAGAACATGGGAAGAGCTGGAGATTGGGTGTAAAGGTCCACTAAGGTGACAAGGAGTAGTGGGAAAGAGTGGATGATCATAGAGTGAGGTGGTGGTGGCTTGCTTTTGTCATAAAATAAGGAAAAGCAAATATTCCCTCAATAATTAGTCCAACCACCAATTCTTTTAATACATTTTCTAAAAACCCTGGAGATTTATATATTTTGGGGCCTTAGTTTATAAAATAAAGTTTTGGGTGAAAATCTCACGTTAAAATAATGAAAAACGGAGTTAAAACGAAGTCGTAGTCGAAAAACCGGAAAATTTATGACACGCAAACATGCATGTCGTCTTCTTTTATGATAGGGGCTTCCTTGATACTCATTGCGTGTCATCAACACGCGAGTCGTAAGGTTACAACAGATAAATGTGTGTCGTCTTCCTTTATGACAGGGACTTCGGTCCTGAAGCTTCAGTTTTGGGTCCTTAAGCCTATTTTACCCGTTTTTTTATACCCGTTTCAAGTGGTTTTTGACCCAGTTAAGGGTCGGGATGGCCCGAATGATTACAAAAAATTAAAGGAACTTTTGAGAGAGATTTGGGAGAGATTCGGGAGTGATTTGGGAGAGATTTTAATAGAGAGAGGTTGAGTGAAAGAGATTGTGAGAGGTTTCGTTTGTGATCTTTTTGAGTGTCCGGCTTCGCAACGAAAGGTCCATAAACCCCGTTAAGCCATGATTTAGTGTCTTACACAATCCCGATGATTGTGCAATAGTGTTTTATCGCTTTGGTTTGTTGTTTAGCACTGTTAAGGCTAAGGAAAATCAAACACATGAATTTTTCAAATGATGTTTTCTCATTGAAATAGCGAATTGTATAATGTAAACCCTAACATACAAGGGTTAATGGAGTTGACCGGTTTGACTTGTTGACTTTGTTTGACTTTGACTTGAGCGAAATTTGACGGCTGTCACAGTACGGACCGGAAGGTCAACAGTGAATGGACCGGAAGGTCAAGATGATGAGGACCGGAAGGTCATTATGGGTAGGACCGGAAGGTCTACCAGGGTTGTGGGACGGAAGTCCTCTGAGACACAGTGACCGGAAGGTCTTATAGCCTTGAGGGGCGTATGTGCGTATGTGGTATTTTGGGGAACTCACTAAGCATTTATGCTTACAGTTGTTGTGTTATGTGTTTCAGGTACTAGCGAGGATCGCGGGAAGGCGCCGGCATGATCCGTACACACTCATGGAGTTTATGTCTTGAGATCCTGGGATATGTTTTGTTATGATAACATTGGATACATTATGTTTTGATATTACCTTATGAAATAAAGTATGTTTTAAAAATGAAAAATTGTTTTGGAGATATACGTTTACTTTGCACTCTATAAAGTTTTTTGAAATATATTTAAATAAATTAAAGAAATTAGTTTTTTTTTCCATTCATATTTCAATAATAGTAAACTTAAAATCTATTGAATGCAAACTAGACATTCTGCTATATTTTTTAAAATTTCATTGAATCCCGCTATTATTGAATTTAATCTATTGCATTCTAAAGTACTAGTATCCCACTTCATTAATCTATTCTTATCAACCATAAATTGTTCGGAACTTAAGACAATAATTTTGTATATACAAGGCATCAATTAGTTAATAAAACAAAACATAAATAAATTATGCAACCGAATTGATGGATTCATCTTTAGGTCTACCTCAACAAAGAATTATTTATTGTCTGCCAATTTGTTTGATAACTCTCTTCTTTGGTTCATACTGAAACGACAACACCAAATAATGACTCACATTCCACTCGATAATCGAATGGAACATAATCAAACGTTTAGTATCTCATGTAAGACTTCTTATGATCCAAACACCGTCAGATTTACTTTTTCATGTTCTTTTTTTAATTTCTCCATTTATTGCAACCTTGGAAAGATGATTGGCGATATGTAGTATTCTTTGCTAAAAGGAATTTTTTTCCCTGATCAGTAAACTTAATAAAATTATTTGACACAATTAGAGACATATTGACTTATTGAGCATTACTATTCCGACTAAAACTTTAGTTAAACAACAAAACATGTTAATTAAGTTTTAATGAAGTCGTGTTGTTCAAAAAAGAAAAAGAGAAAACATGCTAACTGAACTCAAGTTGAAGTGCTGATTTAGTAATCCAGCTTTCGAATGCTCCTTAATTTGTACTCCTAGCTTCTTGCTAGTTATTCTTAATTGATTTAAAAAAAAGAAAAAAAAAATTCAAGTTTTAAGTTAATTATGCATCACTCCATTGAGCAAATCTTCGAACATGTTGAAATTAAAGCATGGTCAAAGAATGAAAGAAACACAAGATCTAGCAGTTTGATACTCGACCAATCTATTAGTTGAAACCAAGAACATATTGAAGTACTTTCTGTCTCCATTTCATAAATACAATAGAAAGTACATTTACTGCTACTAAAACTGCTGCAACCACTAAACGTCAATAATTACTAGTAGTAGTGCTGCTGCTTCTGGTATCATGTAAGCATTTAGATTAATCAACCACTTACATAAATAAAATTACACATTAACGTAAGCCATGTTCATAGTTGCATTGCTACAATTCATTTCTAGATTACACCAAAAAGATAGAGCTAAAACCAGCCCAAGGGCACCAACAGTCCAACAGGCAGGTAATCTTGATAATCCCACACGGGAACATAATATCAAAGAAATTTAAATCGAGATTATACCAAGATCCAATATAATATAATACGTGTATTAATTCTGTTTTTTTCCTTCCCTTTTTGAAGTTTAGATGTGATCGCCTGGTGGAAGAGGGAGAGCTTGGAATGTTGAAAAGCTTGGCAACTGATGATGTTCGTGTGTTGGACCTCTCTTTCGTTTCTTTTTCTCGTAACTGATCCCTCTTGCTTTTGATTGCAAATCACGAACCTCTCGCAGGTACAGTCTCACTGCTCGAGCCCCAAAAGGATTCGTCTCAGGAGGCCACCCGTTCTCCTCGTAGGCTGCTCTAAGTCGGCCAATCAATGCATCCAAACTGCCCCATGCTTGCCGAAGTGGGCAAGGGCAAGGAGCAGGAGGGTCTGGATGCCCGTAAAACGGGCATATCGGTGTATGGACTTTAGTCTTTCCAAACTGGTCGAGGTAGCGGAGGAATTCAAGGACATGGGCGCCGCTGCACCGGGAGAGTGAAAGCGGTGGACGGTGATTTTTCAAGTATTGACCGAACGTGTTCCAGTCTCGACGCTTCTGGTTCTCGTAGCGGCTTGGAGCGGAGGTGGTTGATGGTGAGGAGGCAGCTGCTGCGGTGACCAAACTGCTTATAGCGTGATGACTGTTATCTGAGTTGTTGCAGCTTTCCACTTCAGGGTAAAGATCCATTCTTTTAGAGAAAGAAAAAATGGATTTTCTTGAATCTGATATGATCTAGGTTTTTCCTGATACGGTTTCTCTTTTTAGGGTTTCTTTTTGCTCTTTCCTGCAACTTCTAGGGTTTCTTTGCTAATCACAAAAGCAGTAACACACGTCCATGGTACATAAAAAGAAAGAAACAGATAATCGGATGCTAGATCAAGCACACCCACAAACAAAGACAGGTAGCTTTCTTTGGGCAAGAAATGTAGAAGAAGAAAATAGAAGAGACTGGTCTTGTACTACTACCACTACATGGAAAGGGGTTTGATTGATGTTACCATATTTGTGATGAGAGAGAGAGAGAGATAGAGAGAGAGAAAGAGAGAGAGAGAGAGATTGATTGATATATAAGAGTGTTCTGGTTTCTTGAATGTTTGAGGTAAAATGGATGTTAAAAGAAAGTTTTGGGAAAATAGAATAGGTGCGTGTCTTTGTGTAATGGTGTAAATAATAAAACTTTGATTTTGGGTTTCCTCCAATAGGGCAAGGCAAGCAAATTACCATAACTGTAGTTCAACTCAAAAATAAATATTAACCTAAAATATTATTTATAATACGTTTGGCATTATAACACCTTTAGTACATCAATCTCAGACGTTTGTCAATTATAACACCTTTAGTCCATAATTTTCGATTTTGTAAGGATGGTTAATTGGTTCCTAATGCAAACTAAATTAGCAGTGTTCATCCCTCCCTAAACGTCTATTTGCTCGTGTGAGTTGCATATGAGAGCCTTTATGTCATTTCCACCCCTTCTGTCTCTTCTCCCTTTTTTTCCTTTTCCTTTTCAACTCTTCAATTCTCTTCCACGCTTCTACAAACACACACACACATGGGACAAACAATGATGTTATTTGATCTACCAAAAGTTGTTGATATTCTAATGTATAACTCTTCGTTCTAGATTTGTGTTTGGGAATAAAGATATAATTTGACCAGGGTTGTATAAGTGGGTGGGGTAGCAACGGCGATGGCCCATGGACTCCAAATTTTTAGGATCTATTTTCTTATGTGTTATTTATATTATTATAAGAAAAAACGTTTGGTATTAAGTCATCGCAGACAACACCAAAAAAGGAAAAATGAGATTAGAGCTAAAATTGATGTAAAAGATGGAGAAATTACAACGGATTCTTCAGGAATCTAAGCAATTAATTATATTTTTGTTTAAAAAATTACTGCTAAGGGTCTCATTCTTTTATTTTGTTTGGGACCTCAAATCAACTTAAATTGACCTTGAATTTGACAATGGTGTTCGATATCCATCCTTCACCAACTGTTGATAACAAATATAATATTTACATTTCGAAATCTTCGTATCAAAATTGTTCTCTGAAACTCACCATCTTCAATGTTACAACCGTAACACGAAAGTTGCAAAAAACAAATGTTTATCCAAAATAACTATGTTTGAAACCAAAATATACATTAACTTGATAAAGGCAACTCTCAATAATCCTCACATGGGCTTTATTGAAAATCTAACACTATTATACATATATCAATGTAGCTTTAGGTTTGATCCTTACCATGTTATAAATCCTCCAAGTTATCAATGACAATTTGTAGCATTTAAGCTATGATTCATGGTGTTAGACTTGGAGAAATGACACACTGTGAGTATATCAATATGTCATCGATAAATACGATCACAAATTTGTCTATGTATGGTTTGCAAATGCGGTTCATGATCCATGGACATTATGGGGGAATTGGTCAATCCAAAATGCATAAATATGAACTCGTAATGACTGTATCGAGTCGTAAATGTCGTCTTCGGGATATCTTCTTCCTGGACCCGAAGTTGATGGTACCCTGATCTCAAATCGATCTTTGAGTAGTAGATGGATCTTTGCAGTTGATCGAACAGTTCATCAATTCTTAGGAGTGGGTACTAGCCCTTGATTGTAAGTTTTTTTAACTCCCAGAAATCAATGCACATTTGGAAGGATCCATATTTCTTCTTGATGAATAAAATCGGTTCTCCCGAAGGCGTGAATCTTAGTCTGATAAAGTTTTTGTCAAGAAGTTCTTATAGTTGGCTTGATAGTTATTTCATTTAGGATGATACCAACCGATAAGGAGACTTGGCTACTGGTGCTTCTCTGGGGATCAAGTTGATCCTGAACTCAACTTGTCTGATCGGAGATAATCCTGGTAAATCTTCTAGAAATACGTCAGGATAGTTGCACACCTACGGTATGTCTTTGATCTCCCTTTCCTTGCTCTTTTTATCTACTACGTGTGCCAAGAAGGCGTAGTACTTCTTGTGTAGATGCTTCCGAGCTTTCATGTAAGAAATAATTTTGAGGTTCTGGCCTGATTTGTCTCCGTAAATGATTAGGGTTTCTTCATTGGGTGGGGGATGTCGTACAGTATTTTCGTATACAAGATTTTGGCGTAATGAAGAGACAACCAATCTATGCTGATTATTATGTGGAAACTCCTAGTCATAGGCATAAGATTAACATTGAAGACGTGGTTATTTAAAGTTAGATTGCAATTTTCTAATACTTGTTGGGCACTTTTGGACTGGCCGTTATCCATTTCTATTGTATATGCTTCACTGATTTTACTGGACTTATGACTTAGCAGTTGTCTAAACTTAAGGGTTATAAAATTCTTATCATCACCACAGTAAAAAAAAAAAGAACAGTAGCATACAAGTTGTTAACAAGGAGCGAACCAGTTACCACAGACAGGTCCTGATCGCATCCCTCGTCCCAATAACAAATTCCTTACTCCTGTCAATATCTACCTGATCCTTCAGCTTCGGGAAGTCCCTATTTAAGTGCCCAGCTTCACCATAACAACTACTATTCTCACCAGTTCCTTATCCTGAGTTTGTTGTAGTTGTCTAGCTCTTGTAGTACTTAGAGGTATGGTCCTTTCTGTTGCAACTATTATAGACTGTTTCCATACATGGACCTATGTGGTGTTAGTTGCATTTATTGCATTTTGGGTGTTTCCATGTGTACTACCTTTGTGGAGTGGGTGATGTTATTGTGGTTGTTGATGATGGATTTTTTAGATTAATTCTATGTACTTACGGAATTTCACATAAAAAAATATGGGCACATGCAACCTACAAATTCTATGACTTTTCTCTTAATAGCAACATACTTTGAAAAACTAAATAACCTAGCAAAAATCGAAAATCACAAGGTTTGATTACATACCTTATTGCTATTATTGAAAAAAAGCAATGTACTTTGAAGGACCATTCTTGGAATGCTAGCCCCAATAATATGTAAGCCTCTAATGAATCATACCTAAACCCAAGGAAAACCCTAGGATCGAAAATAAAGAGAGGGAGAGGGATTTCAAAAATTCCTTGTGTTTGTGCAGGTTTCTTGAGTCTTATGGAGGTCCCTATTTATAGTTGTAGGAAACCCTAATTTGAATAATATTGTATTACAATTCAAATTCACTTTCCTTATCAACCAAGGAGGCTTCCAGAAGCCCTAGAAACGGACTCCAGAACCGTCCCCTCCTATGGGAGGTTCTAGAATACTTCATTGTTCAACTTTTGAACAATTTCACTCTAACCCTTAGACCCATTAATTAATTCTAATTAATACAGAACAATTAATTAAATTAACTCTGATTAATTCTTAATGAATTAGTTCCATTTCTAAATAATATATTAATCCTATAATATTAATAAATTATATCTCTTTCTCTCTATATCAATGTGAATCCATGCCATTTCCTGGTTATGAGGGAAACCCAAAAAGGACTTTACTATTATTCAACCAATTATACTAATTTAGTTAAGACTTTAGACACCTTAATCCAACAGTCTCCCACTTGGACAAGTCGTCAACTACAATTGTAAGTATAGCTCTCTAAATAACTAGTAAAGAGTGCATTCCAAGCCACTACCAAACTCTGATTAAATCAGACGTCAACCTTAAGATAAGTGATCAACTATTCCTCCGTTCTTCCTGATATTGTATGGACACAAGACATGGAGTAGAATCAATCTTATGGTCCAAGATTGTGTTTCTCGGTTTCCCGATTTATGATGATGTCATCCGACTATGAACTGAACACAACAACTTAGTCCCGGTTGGGCCCAACACTATAATGTCAACATCAAATCACTGAGGGGCCCAAAGATATCGCTTTTCCTTTAATAGGCAAAAGGAACGAATAAAATTCGACTATATAATCATACATTTTACTTGTCATGTCATACATTGAAATACACTTTATAACAATCCAGTTATAGGTGCGTTGATGCAAACCAATGTACAACAGATTCGTAAACTATAACTTATGTATATATATATATATATATATATATATATATATATATATATATATATATGTATGTATGTATGTATATGTGTGTGTGTGTGTTTTAAGGATAGAATGTATTATTTTCTTAGGATTACTCGTGATTAAATCCATGAAGTAATCTCTAAGCGCGGGTTTAACTAATACTCTAAATCCCCATTTTTAAGTACTCATGGACATTACATCAATCACTATGCAATGTCCAATCCATGTGGACAATCTACAAATGTTTCATGATAGTCTTAAATCAATACCAACTTCCTAGAAGTATGACTGACTGTGGCATTTTGAATAAATTAATATTCAGGAAGTGAAACATACAAAGTGAAACACAAGAATAAATTAATATAAAAGTGTTATCATACACATTAAGCATAAATAAATCTCCATTAATTAATCTCCATTCAATTACACTTTATTATTGTTACATTGTTTCAGAACTATCAACTAACTACTAAAATCTAGAATCTAACATCATCTCTTAGCCCAATGCTCCTAGCATGCTCGAAGTGTTTGATCGTGCTTAATCCCTTTCTGAGAGGATCAGAAGAGTTATCCTCTGATGATACTCGACTCACCACGATTTTTCCTTTTTCTACTCGATTTCGGATATAATGGTATTTTCTGTCGATATCCCTTGATCTATCATGATCCTTTGGTTTTTT